CCCAAGGTATATGTAACTTACAATGTTCACTTAGCTATTTAGCTTGCAAAGGAAAAAATTAACTATAGCAAGTTTGCACCGACCGTTACCTGAAATGTAACAAGAAGAATAGGGAGACTGTAGACATCTTTGGGAAAAAGTGGACTTATTAGGCTCCTCCCCCTGTTATTGCCTTGTTACTAACAGCTAGCTTCGCACCTAGACCAATTAATTAAATAATAAATAATAAATTATTATTATTATTATTATTAAAATCATTTGACATTTTGTATTTATTTGGTCAAGGAAATTTCATGTTTGTGAGGGAAACATCAGGGAATTTTGAAAGTTATGGCTCTGGCAACCATGTTTAACTTAGTAATGTTGGACCTTGTGTTGTACAATTCAGGGGGTAATTGTGCTGAGCCTCGTAATTTCAAATTGACCTTGCACTGCATGCTCGTCTGATTTTGAAATTACTCACCCGATTACACCCTGAATTGTACTCAACTCTGTCCAACTACTATTACTTATTAGAAACATAGTAATAAACTTAATATTTTCAGATGCTGGTTAATGAGATTTGCAAGATGAAGGAAGAAATTCTATTCCTGAAGACTGAAAACTCAATGTTGTTCAAAAGAGCAAATGAAGCAAGCTCTGAGTTATTCTACATGAAGGTGATTTAATTGATGACTAAACTGACTGAAGGAATATCTAAGTTATGTTATCAGATACACTGTTCAGCAAGCAAAGTCCAGTATTAGATTTCAAACAGGTGTCTATACTAGTTAAAACAATAACAACATTTATTTATACCAGAAAGGAAAAAAATAATAAATTACAGTGGAACCCCATTGATCCAGTCATTAATGGGACACAAAAATCTGGCCATATTAAGGGGGTGGCCCTATTAAAGGAGTTCTTTAAATAAGAAAATGACTGACCGGGCTTTTGTTAGGGACAGAGGAAAGTGGCCGTAATAACGAGGTGGCTGTATTAATGGGGTGGCCGTAAGGCAGGGTTCCATTGTAGATTGAAGTTAAACTTTAGAATAAGGTATTAGCTGGCCTGCTTAGAACTAGTCTGTGAACACAGACATATTTCCGCTTCTCACTTGGTTTTCAGCAGATCCAAGTGACAGGCAGAAATATGTCTGCATTCGCAGGCTGGCCTAGAACAACCATGGGGCTAAAAATGATTTGGCAGGTATCTATTATATTTAATTAATAAAGTAGCAATCCCATATGTATTAGTTATGCAGCAAAATGCATTAAGTAAATAAAAAATAAAGAGATTACAATAGCGAAAGAAAGGAAAAAAGCTGATGCTAATCCAATGGATTCTTCATTAAATTCCTTATCCTAGAGCAAGTTGACAGTAAACATGGCTGACAGAGATGAACTACAGAAGAAATTACAGAAGTCAAAAGAGCAGGTATTTGATGAGTCTAGCCAGTGATAAGAGGAGTATTTTTCATGTGCATGATAGCCTTGAACCACAACTGGAAAATATGCAAGGAAGTTCTTCTGCAAGACTAGTATGATTTCAGCCGTTTTCTCTCGGATATGATTAGTCAGCATTTGTTACGTCACATAACTAAATGTGAACTTGCTGTGAACTGTGGGCCAAATTGCTGCGTCTGCTAAATATATTGGCATATTTTTCTGTTAAAATTAAATGAATTTGTGTTAAAAATTAGCTTAGAATTTTCTATCAAAATCAGAGAAAAACATCTCACTGATGCAGTATACTAAGAACTTGACAAGTCAGAGGTTTATAGTAATTTCTTTGTCCACTGCTTGCTTGTCATCAGATTCAAAAGCTTGAGGGGGCATTGAGGAAACAAGCAATTGGCCTGGTGTGTAATAAGAAACAACAAAGACAGTTACAAGAGGAAATCAGATGGAGCCAGGTTGAATATGCTGTTATATTCTCTGTGAATAATCCATCACATTTGCTTATTTGCTTAAAAAGACTATAATAAAGCATCTTGTAATCTTGTGAAGATGCAGGGTTGTGTAATTTGGACAGATCAGTAACGTAGATTAGGGTAAGGTTGGCTAAATAGTGAGCTGAGGTTTGGCATGGTAATTTGACTGCCCTTGCGTGGGGGGGACTCCCATATAAAAAGAATGGGGTGCTCCTTGGAAATGTTGACAAGAACTCCCAACAGTTACCAAGATCCTGTTTTGTGGGTGTGGCCTGGGTATTGTTTTACTCCTAGGAGGTACCAATTCTAAAACAACACATTATGTCTTGTTATATTTTTGGGGGGATTAAAATACCCTAAAAGATCCTGCAGTAGCTCCTGCTGTGGACCTTTTGAAGCTGAACACCCTATATGTTAGGAAGTACCAAAACTACTTTTTTTAACCCCTTAAAGGTATGACGAGCACCCCCATCAGGGAATGGGGAGGAATAGCATGAAGTGGGACGGGAGGGGCCAGAATATGCAGAAGACGTAATTAATGATACAGCAATAGATGTTGTTTACTTTATAATGGTCTACAGTTGGTTAATGCTCATTCTTTTTTTTGATAAACATTCAGTGACTTGATCATTCCAAGAAAATGGACAAAACCCCAACTCTTAACTCTAAACTAACCCTAACCCCTCTTATTAGAACTAATCAAAATTTCTCCAAAATAAAACAGCCTCGGGTGAGCTGTTGTGTCCAGTAGGAGAGTGTTGTCACTGATCATGATCCATGTTTTTATATGTTTAAGATTTTTGCTGTTCCACTTCCTGACTCATCAAGTCGAGGCAGAAGCGTTCCACAAGTTGGAAAGTCCACAAGAGGACGCTAAATGTCATGTTCAGACAGCATGCCAGATACATAAACATATGAACATACTTGCTGTTGAAAACATCCATTCTTTATATCTAATGATTGTTATTGTCATGAGCATAATCTTATAGCCTGCATAGCAGACGTTTCCTTTCCATTTTTCAGGAGAGGGAGGTCGAGCAAGCAAGCAAGCAACCAAGCGTGACTGGGGTGGGCAAAACATGTGGAGAATTGGGGAGGGGGTAAGCAAAAAAGGAGGAAAGAGGGGCTGGGTAGGGAGAGGGGGTAAGCAAATAAAAGGATGAAAAGGGGGGCTGGGATGGAAGGAATCGCCTCCTGTTGTAGCTCGTTATTTTTTTGCACTCGCACACGATTTCGTTTTCTTTGCATGTTTTTGGAAATGAATTGCTGTTATGCAGGCTAGGGCATTTGAGGTAAAATAGTAAACCTTTGACCTTTTCACTTCCCAGAAAGTGAGAAAAAAGATATAAAAAATTTAATTACAAAATACATGAACAAATGTAATTGACAGACAAAAAATGAACCTCGGTTCATCAGCTTTTTTCCAAGTATAGTCAAATGTTTCCAGTATATAATTCCTGCATGCAAAGGTTCTGTACAGTTAAATTTGACTAGGTTTTGCTAAATCCGTGAAACTGGAAATCAGTTTATTTGTTACAACTGCAACGCTTTCTTTATGACTTGCTGCACTTACGCATACATTTGTAAGACAATTTTGTTGCTCGACTTCAAACCTTAGTTAAAAATTATATGCAAGACATCTAAAAACAAAAATCATCTTTAAAAAAAATTCATTTATTTTTATCTATGTTGACGAATTATAACTATAGTCATCTATTTATTTATATGTCTATTTATATATTAATCTTTTTATTTAATATGTACCTATGTATTCGCTTATGAACGAATTAAACAGATGGGGTTCAATATTAAAACATGAATTCCGGTTGTATTGTTCGCTGGTATATTTACAGTAATGTTAGTACGAACCTGTTCACAGACGGTCTATTTTCTCTTATAATTTCGTCCAAATCGAGTACCTGTTTGATATATACGTTGGGATAGAATTCTTCCTTTTAATTCGTTGTTTTCCTTCTTCATACGTTTTTCGGCCGTTTCTATCTTCTCCCTTTGCATCAGCTGCTGTCCACTTTTTCGGCTTTTTCTCTCTCGCACTTTGTCAGCCGTTTCTTCTTTCTCCCAGCCAATCATTTCACTCTAAAACGAGGAGGGAGGAGCGGTCTTGACGGAAATACACGAGATCGTAAAGAGCCTTTGACAACAGTTTACCGTCAATGCTATTGAAAACAAGCAGAAAGCATGACCGGTGGATGATATGGAAACTGGGTTGCCTGCTTCTTCCTTTATTCTCTTAACACCCTCGATCCTCCCCCGCCAAACCTGGAGAATTTAGTCTCCTCTGCCCTCTTTTATCTCCCCAAACCACGTAACCTGAAAACCAGGTCTTCCTCACGGGGGAGAGAGGCTCGACACAAAACGGCCTTGGATTGGTTAGTGCTTATACCCATTAACGCGAATTTTAAAATGAGACGGGATGTGTGTCCACCAAAAAAACACTTACGACGTCTTATCGACCAATGGATGCTTGCATCGTCTCCCTTTAAGAAACTTTTGTCATCTTGAGATGATATTTAGGCCACTTCACGGATGCATGCTTGATTTGTTTATCGTTAACTGGTCTTAAAGTTTTCCAGACCAATTAGAGATTACATAAATAGCGAAAGATCAGTTTACAAATATTGACTTCATTTTCGATCACGTTCACCAAAAGTTACCCAAGCGTCTCCAGGGCTTTCAAGCAAGTGAAACCACAGGCAGCCCAAGATTTAGCTTGAGAGGATTGCGGTCATGGCAAAAAATACAGGAAGTAAGAATTATATCAAGTTCTCAATAATTATATCTCCCCTTACTTCCACAGCGTATCGCTAGAAGTCTGAATGTTTGCTTTGCTAAAACGAGACCATTTTAGCGAGTTACCGCTTCCTAGGTTTCTCACTCCTTAGGCTTAGGAGAAGAAAACCTTATTTGGTAGCGGCAAATTGCTAGAATCGCTTCAAATCAGCAGAGGTGAATAACTTTATTTATTTTATTTCACCAGGGTAGCCCATTCAGCAACGAGGCTGGTGTCCCGCCTGGGCTCGGCATCTTTTCAGCAGCTTTTGGCGTTTGGAGCAACTTTTTGCGGTTCTAGCAACCTCGAACAAGATTTGCCTTTCTGGGCAACTTTTGAACAAAACATAGATTTAGAGCACATAGTAAGCACGAAAAAGTCAACGATTTAAAAGAAAACTTCAATTCATGCGAATTTCTTGAATGTTTATCAAGTCGAAGTTTGAACACATAACCTGTCACTTCATAAAGTTCGGCAAGACGTCAAATGAACCATGTGTTTTGTTCCGTTAGACTTGAGAGTATCTTTAAATTTCGCGCTACTCTTTAAAGCTAAGTCTCACGGTATAGTATTTTTCTTGAACGATGTTCGCCATTATTGCGAAGAACGAAAAATAAAGCTTTTAACTAACGTTTATATGAAAATATCTAGAAATTTAGGTGGCAACTTTTGGATTTTTGGCAATTCTTTGGCAACTCTTTGGCATTTCAGTGAGCAACTTTCCAGCATTTTACGAATACAATCGAGACGGGCCTATTCATAGAGGCCCTAGGTAATAAAGATACATGTTCAATTTATAAAATCTTAAAATGACGCCAAAATAACGCGTTTATTTTTCTTTAAAATTAAGCACAATTTAAAAAACTTTAAAAGTAGAGAAAACATAATAAAAACTCTTACGAACGTTTAAAAGGCTAAAATGTGCAAATATAATAAAAAAAATTGTAAATTTCTAAGGAAAAAATTACAAATAACTGCTTAACTATCAAATCTCTAAATTGCGAACAGACAAAAAAAGAAATGCACTGGGGAGGCCATCAAAATCTTCAGGTGCTTCACAAGACAGCTTTGAAAGGACAGATTTTTTTATGGTAACGTGCCGTAATGTTGATCTTGGTCTCTTGATGCGAGCGATACTGGGGAGAGTACAAAATGCGGTAACAGCCGTAACAGCCCACCACCACCCCTACCCTTCCCCTACCCACGGTTATTTTGTATTCTCCCCAGTTTCGCTCGCATCAAGAGACCAAGATGGCGGTCCGTCGAACTCACAAAGCAGCTAAATACAGGAATTGCACCACACTTAAGTGTTCTCCGGTTAGCCTAAATATCACTTTCGTTAGCCTAAACAGTAGTCCGTGATAGGCCGGTTAGCCTGAGTAGCGTTTCGGTTAGCTTAAGTTAGCGCTGACTCGGGAGTGGTTAGCTCTTTAATAGGGTGCAATTCCTGTATTAATTTAGCTGCGCGTTCGAGCTCAACGATCTACATCTACGATCGCATGGAAATGTATAGGGGACAGTCAGTGCTCGTGACGTCACTGATATCGATTGTATTTGCATGCAGGTGTATGTAATGATCAAAATTTATAGTCTTCGGTCAGCCAAAGCGACCTATTGTGAACAATTGTCAGCACAGTGAGAAGTGACGATTATCACTTTATCTAGCAGTGTCGTAGAATCGAAAGCAAACACTCCTTGTCTTCGATTTCATAAGGACATTTACAAGAAAGAAAGTTTAATTATGTCTCGCGTTTTGGTGACAGGTGCTTCGGGTTTTCTCGCGAGTCATGTTGTGCGGCAATTGCTTGAAGCCGGAGAATACAGGGTTCGTGGAACTGTCAGGAGTCTTGCAAATGAGACGAAAGTGGTACCTTTGAGACGTCTGTGTCCTGAAAACGCACAATATGAGCTGGAACTGGTCGAAGCAGACTTGATGAACAAGGCATCTTGGCAAGAGTACGTGAGCTAAAATTGTAACTATTACATAATACGGTGACAGCTTTAGTGGTATCTGGGTATTTCAGATTTATTTGTATTCAGTGTACATCTATGCAGCCTGACCCTGGTAGATTTCTTGCTAAAAAAAATTGTTGCCTGAGTGGGGAAGGAATTTGAAAGCGGTGAGCTGTGTGAATTATCGATTGACAGAAATTGAACCTTACTTAACCAAAAAAAACCATCTTAGTCTCACCATGTATTTTACTATGCAGACTACAAACTTCATAAGGAACGTTAATTAGTTAATGCACTCTATTTATCTAAGCAAGAGGAATTTGCAAAGACACGAGAGAGGTGCATTGACTTCAAAGTAGAAAGCATCTTTCCATTTTATATATCCATCCAAAGTTGGGGGAGGGGGGGGGGGGGCGAGATAGATGATTGGCCTTATTTAATATCCAGCAGGGGGTGGGGGTGCTCCCATCTATGTGCTATATAGGTATTTGCTGTGGGATAGGTAGGATTATTGAGGTTCTCAACCTTAAATGCAGTATCTTTTTGGCCCTGTAGGCATTGTTTTCCCAGTGTGTGAGCCTTAGATAGGGTGTTAAAATTGTATCAGCTAAAATTGCAGTGTGTAAATGCCCAGCTGAACGAAAAACAAATGATACGTTAAAACCGAACTATCCCTTAACTTCCAGTGTTACAGAAACAAGATGAAGTTGATCCGTTCACACTTTTCGTAGTTTCTGTTTTTTCCCTCGAAAAGGGTGTCAATTTTGGGTCTGGGCCTAAATAGGGTATCAATTTTCATTTGCTTCATCCCTTTACCCCCTAAGGCGAACGGCAGTTTTTCCCAAATTGGTAAATAAAGACACTCTGCCTGTGTACAATATGCCATTTGAAAGCCACTAATCAGCTTATTTAAGAATTGACATCAGCAGCTATGAAGGAGGTAGATATTTTGAGAGAAATTGCTTTAAAATGGGAAAATGAACGACTTCAAAAATGTATCAATCTTCTACTATATTAGGTATACCCCTAAACTATAGCTTATTTAGCAGCTCATAACCAATAAAGTAACTTGCTGAACCTTTTGTTGTTCTTTCCATTCCAGCTGTAAGACGATCCAGACTAGATGGGGATTCATCACTTATGACATACCGTGGCCACAGTGTATTGCACACTCTTGTTCGCTGTTACTTCTCGCCTATGCACACAACAGGGCAGGTAAAATTACCATATGCACTCTGTGTGTATGAAGGAGTATTTACTAGCTATTAATAGGTTCACTGTCTACCAGCCTATATGATACTGCATGTATATACACCTTATTCCAAAATGGCGGCCAATTTATTATTCTTTTGTTTGCATGTTAATTA